CCCGACTTTTTCTCTTATTACAAACTTACATGCACAATTATATTATTACAAGATACTATATTGTTGTTTAAAAAAAAAAAGGATACTACTGTTGTAATCATATATTAATTCGTGTGTGATTCTGTTCATAACTCCCCAAACAAGTAAATCTTTACTCTTTATATCATATAAAGAGGCAAGTGAATGCCTCTTTTTCAATAATCACTATAGACTTTTTGGGTTAGGTAAATACAAATAGAGGTTCTCCAAGAGATGATAAAACACTACAAGTATTTCTTTTGGAACCGTTGAGACATAAAATGAATGAATGAGTAGATTTAACTAGAATCAATAGTAATATAATTTGAAAAATTAAAACATCTGATAATTAATAAACACCAAAACTAGAACGGTAAATAGGTATTGATGTTTGAAATTTCTAAAATTTCTTATATCGAAAAGTACAGTTATTGGGATTAGCCCTTTGACAATTACATAGATGTACATTCTTTTGTACTTTTTTGGGGTTGTCTATGGTCGCCCTCGTTCATGTTTTCACAACCGCAACGAAGAAAGCGTTGTGTTTGGTTATGAGAAATCATGTCTTTAAAGCATTTCTTGTCTCCGTGAGGACCGCATTTTCCAGAGAATACGATTTCATCCCAACATTCACGGGGATTTGCTCCAGCTTTCACCTCTATTTTTTTTTCTTCATATCAACCACAATGAATCGTTAGATTATTGATAAACAAATTTAGTTAGTAAATACACTAATTTTAAATTACACCATGTTCTACAACTTTTTTTGTTTTTTATCCTGCAAAACCTTTTTGGGAGATTGTTGACAATTAATAAAAGAAACAAAAAGATTAGAATATTACCTTCAACATGGATCAGAATGAAAGAAATGAAAACACAAGAAACCATAAACATTAATGTTGCACACCTCAAACTTCAAAATTTGAGAAAGATATTAATAACTCTCTTGCTTTGAGGAATTTAATTGTTTGTCTCACTCTCGTTATAAATATGATAATAGGGTTCTGTTGTCGTCACTTGTTAACACTAGTACTAATATATACTAACCAGACGGTGTAACAATTGTTCCGACTAAATTTAAGAAGAAAAAAGAAACATATGGATGGAGCCAAGTCATCCATGATCGGCAGAATCGGTCTTCAATTTTTACAAACATTATTCTTGGTACATTCACCTTTTTTAGTTCAATTCGGTGTTCAAAAAAAAAATGGAATGACTACGTGGATGATATATTGATGCTAAAATCTTACAAAATGATACATACTAGTTATTTAAAATTTAAAAGAGAGGTTCTAAAATAACAAACATAGTATAATTTAGTGATTTGTGTTAATGTTGTCATTCACACAATAAAAAAGAGCGGTCCAGACAAGGTGTAAGGAAATAACGATGCTAAGATCTTTACGGACAAAACAAGTGTTTTACTGCTGTGATCATGATCGTTAATGCCTGTATGTGGAGCAGCTCCTATATGGCTCTGGAGTCGAGGGTGGGTGGCGCGTGACCACATGCGAAGAGACGGACTAATTTGTTATATTACTTCGTATGTGATAAGCATATATACATGCATGGGAATGATCTTTTCGAATAAACACTAATTTGTTATTTTATCTTGCTTGGAACAATTGAACGCAAGATAAAATAGAATGAGATCGCGCATACTACTTTAAAAGTAACACCTCATAATTTTATTGATTTTGCTACAATAGAAGGCAATACAATGAAAACAAGAAACATTAGTGAAAACCATTGTTTATCTATCTATCAACACCAAATACTCTTGTACATGAATTTGGTATTGATGATGGCTGAAATTTCTAAAATGGGGAACATTTATTGGGAGGCAACTGACATGAGCATATATGTTCGTTCTTGGGATCCTTTGACCCTTTTTGACATTCACAACGAAGATATTGAATTCTTTCTTTCGCAATCATTTTTTTGAGACATTTCTTGTCTGCGTCAACGCTGCATTTTCCAGGGAATACAGTCCCATCCCAGCACTGAGAGGAAGGAGGTGCTCCAGCTTCCACTTCTATATTTTTTTTATCAACCACAATAAAATGGTTAGGTCATAGATACAAAAATTTAGTTATGAAATCATTTCGAATTAGCCATGTTTTAGAACTGTCTTTCTTTTCGCAAGACCATTTTTTGCGATTGTTGGCCATCCATTCCCATTCTTCCAAGTGTCTCGAATAACCAGAAAAACAAAATCAAGAGACGATTGATATCTTACTTTTAACATGATTCGCAATGAAAAAGATGAAAACACAAGAAACCATAAACAAAGTAGTACACTTCATGCTCAAAAATGGATTAAAAGTTGTCTCTATTACTTGGAGGAACTTAAAATGTCCGTCTTACTCTCATAATAAATAGATATATACTAACCACACGGTAAAATAATTGTCTCTACTAAATTTGAGGGGAAAAAGGAAAGGATTGAACCAAGTCAATAGGATCGATGGAATCGGTCTTCTACTTT